AATTCGGGGTAACAATTAAGCAGTAGATTTTTTTCTCATACATAGTGCTTTTAGGTATAAGTTAATCCGAGTAACAATTAAGTGAGAAAATTTTCTCTCATATGTAGTTCGTTGTTATATAAGATAAAAGGACTAAGAGTTAAATAAGATAATTTTCTCTCTCATCATATGCTAGCATTAATTTAACTAATAATTAGCAATTTCTTATTTAAATAATACGCAGTATTCGTTATTTTGAATATTTATTGTATTAAGTTTTTTAGAATTGTATTGAATTGTAAAATTAATTTAATCATGAAAATCAATAAGTAGTATATTCTAATGAGTGGTGTTAATTAATATTTCTAATATACTCTCATTGAATATTTATTGCATGGGCCCATACCTAATACCAAGAGGCTTATGGTATTAGCTTATTGTACTCTTATTTTTTGAAAATATAGAATCCTACAAAGTTATTTTTATTTTAATATTTAATTAGATAATGAGTAAACTTTTATAGTGTGAAAAATATAATGTAACTAAATTGGCTATGAGTACACTTTTATAGTCGCTATAAGATAAAATAAAAAATAAGTATAATTACCAAAAGTTAATAAGTTACAATGTTATCCACTATCCTTATTATGGTCATAATTATGAATTATTTGTTTATTTAATGCGAAATAATGCATGTCGAGGTTGAAAAATAGAAAGTTGTTTGATAAATCTTCAAAAAAAAATGTATATACAATATTGGTATTATATGAAAATTAGAATAATTTATGAATTTTAATACTCCGGAGTATGTTTTTTGGTTTATGCGTTGGATTGTATAATAATCAGAATGAGTAGGGTTAAAGTTTTTTTTACTGAGTGACTGAAGTTACTTTAAAGGGTCATTTTAGCTACTTTTCATATACTTTTTAATTTATTTTATAATGAGAATATATTTTAAAATACATTTTTTTCATAATTCAGCAGATTCAGCAAATTCAACCACAACTTCATCATTTTCGCTAAATTTAGGCAATTTGAGTTTACCAAACGGAATCTAAATAACATTCTAAATAAAGAAGATGTCCAATGTGTTAAAAAAACATTTTCTTCAAAGTGTTATAATATTTTCATTGTTTTTCTAATTTTTATAAAAATATATATCAAATTTCGTAAATGTTAGTATTGTCATTGAAAATGGTTTACGTGGAGAAAAACTTGTCAAAATTGTGGAGAAAAACTTACCAAAATTGTATAACATCATTCAAATAAGGAGAGATATAATTTATCTTTTAATATTTATGTGGCAGACCTCACAAAACCGGCACGGACCGCCCGGCCAGATACATTTAGTATAAATACATATATATTTATATGTATATGCTAATATATTTATTTATTTACATGTACAGACATGTATATTTATATTTACTAATTTATCTATATACATATTTATGGTTTATTATGTTTAAATTTAAGTTTTCAGTTCTTAACAAATAGTCCGACCAATATAATATCTATTTTTGTACGTAAAGATAATACTTTGTGCTTGAATATTAAATTTTAGATATACTTTCTCATTATTATTTTTATGTAAGTAGTTTTTGTGTATGTGGTGAAAGGTCTATATACATTATAAGCGTATTAGGAATTTTTTTAAATGTTGCAATATTATTTATAAAGTATTAAAAAAATTTGAAAATTTTAAAGCTTTCTCGGGTCGGGCAGCCCGGTGGACTACCCGGCCCGCTCTTACGGGCGGGTACGAACATGGGGTTAGGCCCATTTTGCGGGACAGGCGGGCCCGCCCACACATGATGGGCAGAAAATTTACGAAAATCCCGGCCCGAGCCCGGCCCGAACCCGCTTTTGTGCAGGTATATTAGGTGGCTATCTCGCATGCCACATCTGCACCGTGCACATTGTAGCATTGAAGATGCTCTAATATAAGTTGACTAACAATTGAGCAGAAGAACTTTCTCTCTCATATATAGTGCTTTTAGGTATAAGATAAACCGAGTAACAATTGAACGAGAGAATTTTCTCCCTCTTATGTAGTGTTTTTAGATATTAGAAGATAAGCTTGCTCACAATTGAGAAAGAGAACTTTCTCTCTCATAAACTATTTTTTATAAGTAGAAGATAAGCCGGTTAACAATTGAATATAAGAATTTTCTCTCTCATATGCGGTGCTATTAGGTATAAGAAAATAAACCGGCTAACAATTGAGTGGAAAAAGTTTCTCTCTCATATGTAGTGCTTTTGGGTATTAGAAATAATCTTTCTACAATTGAACGAGAAATCTATCTCTCTCATATGTAGTTCTTCTAAGTATAAGATAAGGGGACTAACAATTGATCGACAGAATATTCTCTCATATGTAGTTCTTTTAGGGGAGATAAGTTGACTAACAATTTAGCGAAAACATTTCCTCTCTCATATGTAGTGCTTTTAGGTATTAGAAGATAATCTTGCTAACAATTGAGCGGGAGAACTTGATCTCTCATAATCAGTTCTTTTCAGTATAAGATACGTCGACTAACAATTGAGCGGAAGAATTTTCTCTCTCATATGTGGTGCTTTTAGGTATAAGATAAGCCGGCTTACAATTGAGCGAGAAAAATTTTCTCTCATACGTAGTGCTTTTAGGTACTACAAAATAGGCTTGCTAACAGTTGAACGGGAAAGCTTTCCCTTTCATACGTAGTTCTCTTAAGTATAAGATAAGCCGGCTGACAATTGAGCGGAATAATTTTTCTCTCATATGAAGTGTTTTTAGGTTAAGAAGAAGATAAGCCGGCTAACAATTTAATTGGAGAATTTTCTCTCTCATATGTAGTGGTTATAGGTACAAGAAGATAAGTTTGCTAATAGTTGAGCAGGATAAATTTCTCTATCATATGTAGTGATTTTAGGTATTAGAAAATAAGCTTGCAAACACTTGAGCAGAGAATTGACTGATAATAATTTTCTCTCGCACATATAGTGCTTTTAGGTATTTTGCAGAGTAGAAGATAAGCTTCCTAACAATCGAGCGGGATAATTTTCTCTCTTATATGTAGTGCTTTTAGGTATAAGAAGATAAGCCGATTAACAATTGTGTGGAAGAATTTTCTCTCTCAAATGTAGTAGTTTTAGGTATAATTAATAAGATCAACTTGCTAATAATTTAGCGGGACAAATTTCTCTATCAAACGTAGTCTTTTAGGTATTAGAAGATAAACTTGCAACCGATTGAGTAGGGGAATTGAGCAGGATAATTTTCTCTCTCATATGTAGTGCTTTTAGGTGTTAGAAGATAAGATTGCTAACAATTGAGCAAGTTAATTTTCTCTCACATGTAATTCTTTTAAGTATAAAATAAGTCGGCTAACAATTGAGCGTGATAATTTTTCTCTCATATGTAGTCATTTAGGAATGAGGAGATAAGAATATATATATATAATAAGCTTTCTAACAATTGTGCGGGAGAGCTTTTTCTATTGTTGAAGCATTTGTCCCACACCGGAAAGCTATAAAACAATTACACACTATATAAGGCTTTGGGCTACTCCTCCTATCAGGTTGACCTTTTAGGATGGAACCCCGGGTCTTAACATGGTATCAGAGCCAATTTCGGTTGTGGTTTAACGGCTTGTTTAGCACCCATGATTAAGGGTAGCTTGTTAAGGGTTTGTTTGGCCCGTTTATACACCCGATATTGTCCAGCCCGGTTCGGGCTGAGGGGGCGTGTTGAAGCATTTGTCCCACACCGGAAAGCTATAAAACAATTACACACTATATAAGGCTTTGGGCTACTCCTCCTATCAGGTTGACCTTTTAGGATGGAACCCCGGGTCTTAACATCTATCATATGTAGTTCTTTTTAAGTATTAGATAATCGGGCTAACAACTTAGCAAGAAAATTTATCTCTTATATGCAGTGCTTTTAGGTATAAGATAAGTTGGCTAACAATTGAGCGAAAGTATTTTCTCTCTCTTTTAGTATAAGAAGACAAGATATAAGATAAGTTGACAGAAATTGAGCGGAATAATTTTATTTCTCATATGTAGTGTTTTTAGGTATAATAAAGAAGATAAATTTGCTAATAATTGAACAGAAGACTTTTCTCTCACATATGTAGCGCTTTTACTTATTTTATACCTAAAAGAATTACATATGAGAGAAAATTACCCTCTCAACAGAAAACAATATTATCTTAATTTTTAGCCAGATTTTCTCTCATATGTTAGCACTAATTTAACTAATGATGAGCAAGTTCTTATTGAACTAATATTCATTAATTTTAATATTTATTGCATTCATTTGAATTTTATATCATTCACTTATTGTACTCACTTTTTAAGAATAGTATTTAATTTTAAAATTAATTAGATCATGAAAATTTATAGATAGCAAATTCTAATGAGTGGTGTCAATTAATTATCCCTAATATACTCTTCATTCAATATTTTTGTATGGCTTATACTTTATGATATTAGTTTAGTGTACTTTTATTTTTCGAAAATAACTTTCAAATATTAAAAGTCATTTCTATTTTAATATTTAATTAGATAATGAATAAAAACATATGCACCAATTGCTATTTCGTCCCGTGCGTATGCACGGGTACTATACTAGTTACAAATAAAAATTATTCTAAAAGTATGTACTAGTGTGAATTTGAGATGATAATTATTACAATAAATTTTATAAGTAGATGATGATAAATGTGGTATAACAATGAACAAAGAATAATCTTGAAACCACTAAATATCAAAGTTAGTGTTTAACTAAAGAAATTACATAATTTATGTTTGATACTTCATTGTCGGGATTAAGCGGGATTCCCGATCGGGATCCCGACTTAATCGAATTTTAATGTCGGGATCCCGACTTAATCAGGACGGGACATGAGATCCTCTTGTAGTTTGAATCGGGATCGGGACGGGATCGAGATTTGGGCAATCGATCACGAATTCCCGATCCCACCCCTACTAGAAACTATTCTTGTTACTAAAAGCGCCCTTAGTTCTGTAAAAAAAAAAAAGCGCCCTTAGTTTCTTCGAGTCCGGTAGTGAGTAGTCCCTGTCCCTCTGCTTAATACTACGTATTTTGGTTTCAGAGATTGAAGTAACTGCCTTTAAATAATAAAAAAAAAACATACAAGAGAGTTTACCGATCGTTCGCCTATGCAGGAACCCCTCAGGTCTTCGCTTGGATTCTTCTTCTTTCATTACCGTACAAAGTACATAGTCTTTTTGTTGTTTCCTGTGGAAAATCGTGGAGTTTGTACTATTAAGTTTACTCATATCTTCGGAATTGTAAATGAGTTTGTGAGGCTGATTTGTTGTTCATAAACCTTGAAATATGTTACTAGATTAAACTTTATTTGGGTTTTTGGCGACTTAGGGTTTCTTGTATAATTTCTGATTTGTGGACGTTTTTTGTTTATTCAGGTTTCTAACCCAGTATTGAATTTCCTAATGGTGAAGGCAAAGCATGTTGGTTCATAACATGAATTACAAGAGGCAAAGAAAACCAAATGTGAGATTGTGGGAGGTAGGAGATTTACCAGCCGCTTTCGCATGTGATGTTTCTAAGAGATTTAAGTCAAATTTGGGGCAAAGATCGTGGAAAGATGATCCGGGAGGAAACAATGATTCAACTTTTCCACATCACTTTCCACACGAATTCGGGTTCACTGAATTCAGCATATGCTATGAAAAGTCTGCTGATAGGGCTAACATGAATCTAAACTCTTTAAATACTCATCCAGATCTTTCTTCTGGTCATGATGATGAAGCCAATGTTAAGAAGGATGAACAAAGATTCAGAGAAGCCAATGATAGAAATGATGAACAAAGATTAAGCTGGGTGACCCGAAAGCCTAGGCTGAGCAAACGAAGAAGAAGAAGCCTGGAGAGTCTTTTTCTTGATCCTTGGGGCTCGGCCACAAGATTAGGCACATTTGTAGCAATATCTGGTGAGAAAATGCAGGCAATTAAGGTTCCCTTATCTACTGATGAAGGTAACGAAGTAGAATCCGAAGAACGGGTGATCAGTAGTAGTGGTAGTGTAGGGGAATGGCTTGAGGAGATTGGGTTTGGGAAATATGCAGAGCTGTTTGAAATGCATGAGGTGGATAAGGAAACTTTGCCTCTACTCACTCTCAATGACCTCAAAGAAATGGGAATTTTTGCAGTTGGGATACGGCGAAAGTTGTTTGATGCAATTAAAACGATCAGGGAAGTAAATATGGGATGTTTGCTTGATGAAAAAACCTGACAGCCCTCTGGTTTTCTGGCTCATGGCTTTCTGTAATGAACTTGATGCCTGTAGATATATGCCCGGGCAACATTGTAAATGTTTTTGTCTCCAGCAATGTAATCTATAGATCACCTTATATATATGCTGACATGAATAAGATATTTTGGCTTTGTTATTGTACTATATGGACACCGAATGTGAAAACAAGTTTGTTTTCGGCCACGGAATGTAGTAATATTTAATGATTTTTTGTACGCCACCCATCCAGTACCAAATAGATTTTCTTATACTCTAACTGTCTAACATATACGGAGTATGTGAAAAGGAAGAGCAAGAGATTTTTCGAAGTGTATATTCTCTGGACAGAATATTGGATTTTTATGTTACTGCCAGTCTGCCATCAAGTCTGTGTCTGCTCTCTTATTAGTGGAATCGTGTAGAGCACAACAGAGATGATTAGATGAACACAACATATTGGAAAGTTGGAAAAAGAACAAGATGAAGGGAAACTTTTCTTTTCTCACTTTCTCTTTTTATACAATGCCGAAGAAACTAGAAAGTCATCAGTAAACTAACTGCCTGGTAAAAAGGAATCAGTGGCAGAGCCAGGGGTGAATCTAGGATTTTAGTCCAGGAGGGGCCAGTTTCTTTTAAATAAATAATATTATTATAATTGCATAAAAAAATAAATACAAAAATACATACTCCCTCCGCCCCCCTATAATTGTCTTATTTCTCCGTGTTTTATGTGCCACTATTATTGTCTCATATCATATTTAGTAAAATTTGTGTGGTTCTAATTCATTCTTACTTTATTCTCACTTTATCAACTCATTAGCAACCACATAATTTCACTTTTCATAAAAACCACACCACTCTCGTCCCAATATTAGAGGGATGGAAGTAGTATAATGTTAGATGTGAATTTCAAGAATAAGAGTTTATATTCAAGTTAATTACAAAAAATGGTCACTGAAAAAAGAAGTTAGACTATAATAAAACAATATTCACAGCTGACAAGTATATTAGAAACAATAAAATTCCTACTAACAAAAGATAATAAGACTAATGTCAAAAATGAGATTAATATTCATAAATCACAATCATGTCAATACTAATAGCACTAATACTAAATAAAAATGTAATAAACAAGGAGATTGATACTAACAACTATACTCATGCTAATGGGATGGAAGTTAATTTTACACATTGCTAACGTAATTTCTTGCATAATTTTGTTAAGATTTAATTTCTCATGTTTTACGTGGGTCTTTGTGATTTTTGAACGGATTCTATCAAATTTTAGAAAAAAATAACTCAAGATGGAATTGGGAGATAAAGAACGACAGTTAGAGCACGAAAAACGGCTACTAGATCGCCTTCCAACTCACAACCTTGAATCAGGATGACATTCTCTCAATGATTTAAACATATCTTTTCGTATACAAATCCGAAACTATTAAGGTCTCATGTGAGAGATAACTTAAGTAGCTACAAATCTTATGAACAAATCATGAATAGAATATGAGAGCATAAAGGTGAAATTAGATGTGGAAGACAACCATTCACTGTTGAGATTTTAGGATGAACATGTTTCACCATTCCAACATAAGGAAATGCGACACTTATTTTGGTGTAACCCAAAAAGGAAAGTAAGATAAGTAAATTGGGATGGAGGGAGTACTATAATTGTCAAGGTAATGGCATATACATTAAAAGCAGTTATTCTACTAAATTCTACTAGTAAACTCACCCGTGCGATGCACGGTTTGATAATTTTTCTTTCAAATTTATGTGTGTTTAGTAATTCAAATCACACTATCAATTGATGACAGCATCTATCTTCATATAACACTGATATACATTAAAGCATTAAACGAAACACACTTATAATATTATGGCCAAAATGAGAGTACTAAGCATTACTTAAAAGATCAAAAACATCCAACAAATACGTTGAAACCATAACATTGTAAATATGCATTTAATGTAAACCTAAACATTGTTGAACACTTCTTTGAATACAACATTCTGAGTCTTGTCAGATATTCCTTCATCCTCATCAACAATTATAATTTTCAAACCACAACGACTGGCAACCCTTGATACTGCAACATATTCAGTACACCGGACAAATTTATACTATTTAAGCATTCAGATGTGTGCAGTTCCGTCATTAGATCGGTCGTAGAATCTACCTTGAAAACACTGTCAGAACTAAGATATGTTCTTGAAAAGGTAAGAAATAAGGTGACTATAAATTTACACGAATTTCATTTTTTAGAAGAAGTGTCTCTCTAAATAGGTAAAATAAGGGAGTAAAATATGTGAAAGTGTTCAAATATGTGCTTTTCCTATTTCTAATATCCAATTATGGTCTGGTCTAGTTTGTTTAAGTTTGGTTTGTCTGAGACTGAAATAAGTCTTAAGTATAAACATCTCAAGTAATAGTGACTATGCATTTATACGAATTGCATTTTTTACACGAATTGCCCGGGTGGATTGGCAAATCAGGGGGTGTGCAAATATGTGAAAGTGTGTTATGACATTATTAAACAATACTCAAATATAATTTGTGAGAAAATTTTAGTTGAGTCGGTATATGAAAAATAATGCTATCATTTAAGAATAATAACTTTTGAAACACATTCAATAGGTAGAATCTATAGTAGTTCTTAATTCAAAAATAAGTACAACTCCAGTGCGATGCTCGATTGGTGAAATTTAAAGGACGAAGTTTTGCTCAAATTAGAAAAGAAAAAAACATATGCAATAATCAAGTTTGATGTTAAATGAAATGTATTCAATACATTTAGTCGCTTAGTACGCAATAACCCGTGCGATGCACGATCGGAGATTTTTTCTTTCAAATTTATTTGCGCTCACTAATTCAAATTCCACTATCAGTTGATGTCAACATCTATCTCAATGCAATAGTGACATAGCTCAAAACAATAAACAAAACACACTTATAATAATGGTTAAAAAGAGAGTACTGAGCATTACTTAAAGGATAAAAAACATCCAACAAATACATGGAAACCATAACATTTCATGTAATCCTAAACATTTTGAACATTTCTTTGAATACAACATTCTAAGTCTTGCGAGTGGTTCCTTCATCATCATAAAAAATTAGAATTTTCAAATCACAACGATTGCTCATCCTTGATAGTGTAACATACAATTGTCCGTGGGTAAATACCGAATTTTGCAACAACCCAACACGGGACAAAGATTAACCTTGACTTTTATTTATAGTCATAACATATGAACGCATAACAGGATCTTGCCGCCTCTAAAATTCTAAAGGCAGGCTGGCATCGGATGGGTCAAGGACAATTTAGGAATAAATACTTTTTGTCCAACACTCACACCTGTTAATATCTTCCCCTCCAAAGCATGATCACCGGGCCTAGATGGTGAGTCCCGTTACACAACCCCATTGAATGATAAATATTTTGCAAAAGCATCACCGGAGTACCTACCTTTAACGTTAACTAATGATTTAGTACACCAGGTAATTTTATACTTCCTCCATCTTTGAAACAACTTCTCACTTTCCTTATCTGGATATCCCTAATTTAACTTCCTATTTCCTTAAATGGCAAGTTATCTACATCAAAACAGTGCCAAACAGTGTCGAAACAGTGTCAAATTTACCCTCTGATAAATATGTGTGTAGGTCAAACCGGGAAGTTGTTTCAGGAACGAAGGTAGTACTATTCAAGAATTTCAATGTGTGCAGTTCCATCATTGGATCGGTCGAATTATCTATACGAATTGCATTATTTAGACAAATTGCTGATGTAACCTGGCAAATCGGGGGGAGGGGGTGCAGATATGTCAAAATGTGTTATGTCTTTATCTTTACGAATTGCATTATTTAGACGAATTGCTGATGTAACTTGGCAAATCAGGGGGTGCAAATATGTGAAAATGTGTTATGTCTTTATCTATACGAATTGCATTATTTTGACGAATTGCTAATGTAACCTGGCAAATCAGAGGGGTGCAGATATGTGAAAATGCGTTATGTCTTTATCTATACGAATTGCATTATTTAGATGAATTGCTGATTTAACCTGGCAAATCAGGGGGGTGCAGATATGTGAAAATGTGTTATGCCTTTATCTATACGAATTACATTATTTAGACGAATTGTTGTAACCTGGCAAATCAGGGAGATGTGTAGATATGTGAAAATGTGTTATGTCTTTATCTATACGAATTGCATTATTTAGAAGAATTGCTGATGTAACCTGGCAAATCAGGGGGGTGTATATATGTGAAAATGTGTTATGTCTTTATATATACGAATTGGATTATTTAGACGAATTGTTGATGTAACCTGACAAATCAGGGGGTATGCAGATATGTGAAAATGTGTTATGTCTTTATTTCTACGAATTGCATTATTTAGACGAATTGCTGATGTAACCGGCATTTACCTTAATCATTTCACTTCATATGGTAGTTAAGAAATGAGTGGATTTATTAAGATCTTATTTGTCATTGACTTTATACCTTTCCCCCCCATATAAACGAATTCCTGTTTTTGCTTTCATCCACAACAACAAATGGTTTCTCTTGTAAAGGATATGTAAATATTTTTAAAAAACCAAAGCAAATGAAAAACTTGAAAACTCAGTAGCATAAACTTCCCATAAATTTTCTCTTCAATTTTCGTCTGTGATATCCTTATATCCTAAACATAGGTATATAAGTCATTCGGGATATAACTGTTTTTGATATTTTAATGTAATTCAAAGCATAGGTATTTTCGTCTGCGTATTGGTGTGTATACACATGTTTCTCTCACAAACACCTATTTTAAATGTAATTCAAGTTTATTCGTAAATACATACTCGTACTTCGTATTTATAAATGAATATATATATACAGTTATACACGTAAATAAAAAAAGTATAATACGGAGTACTCTGTATGATAAAAAAAAGTGATGGGCCTATTTTAAATATCATGGCCCAAAATTTACACCAGCTCCGTACGCCTTACAGGCCGGGTATATAAGCTGATGATGAAATGGGGCATCTTCTATGTTGGAACTCTTCATCCTGGAGCCACTATCACCGGGTCCTTCTCTGGAACCATCTATTTTTTTGGGTGAACTGTAAGTATATTAAAGAACCACCCAAGAAGAAGGGGGCAAAGAATGTACAAGTAAACAAGGAAAACAAAAATGCAAGTTGTCCAACATGGACAACCGTAACCCAGCAACAACAACCTGCCAAAGC